ACTGTGTGTGTTGTGGATCAATGATTCTTTGGAAAGTGGAGGCACTAGGCCAGTGTGTTGACCTGTGCAAGTCTGCAGGAAATGCGCAAGCTGTTCAACAAGAGCAAGAGGATCAAAATTGCAGAATACTTGAGCCAGGTGATTTTGGACACTCAGCCAACAGACCAATTCCAAACCTGTGTCTGAGTAGATGTGTGATGAGTTGTGCATTGCATTGCATGCAAACAAACCTTCAATCATGAACCCTGGAGTCCTGGAGGAAGAGTCTGACTGTGAGTTTGAGGGCCTGCCACAAGAGGAGAGCCAGGACTCATGGGAGGCATGCTTGTACTGTTCAATTCTTATGTGTCATTCAGTATGTGACTGTGTGGTGTGGTCAATGCACATGTGCATAACTGTGCAGATTGACCCAGCTGACCCAGCTGACCCAGATGATGCTGTGGAGCCACATGGGTGTAACCAAGGGAAATGTGTAAGGAAAGTGAAAAGGTGGTGTGTGCAAAGAAGCCTGGCATTGTATTTGGCTTGGGCTGTGGTGTGATGCCAGGACCAGGATGTCGATGTGGGAAATCCTGGTGATGCTGATCCAGCCTCAGCCCTATCAGGCCTTGTTAGTGCTTCTCAGAGAATCAGTTGGGCCAGGGGTGAGGGATGCGGATGCAGGAGACATGGCAAGGAGCAGTTGGAGGGCCTCTGACTCTGACTAATCCTAGGCTGGTGGGCTTGATATTATGATGCACAACTGGCAAGGCTGTTTTGTTTTTTACATCCACTCCACTTGTATCAGGAGGAGACTGTGACTTGGTCAGCTGGCTCTAAGACCAGTCACATGGGAAGGAGTAGTCAAACAGCTTCTAGGGGCTCAAGTGGTGAGTGAAAGAGAGATGTGATAGAAGCATGCAGCTGCTGTGTTTGAGCGAAGCTGATGTGGCATGCAATATAATGTGGTATATAAAGCATCTAGATATATAATATTATAACAACATTTGGTAGTGGAGCTTGTAGTTGGTAGTGGAGCTGGGATTGGTTAGCAATGGACTTGGAGCAACTAGTGGCAGATGAACCTGGTGAAGGTGAAGGTGAGGGGGAAGGAACCTCCCCGCCAAAAAAGAAACAGAAAAGTGAATCATTTGACATGCCCTGGAGAACAGCTACAATTATGGAGCTTGGCCAAAGAGCCTATATCAGAGACAGTGATGAAACAGCTGAATGGCTGTGGGTGAGGCTTCATGAGGCTTTGGGTATGAAGACAGATAGCTACAAGTTCCTGAAGAACAGCCTGGCAAGCCTAAAGCAATTCCTGGAAAAAGATCTTCAGGTTGACTTTGGAGAGGTGAGGTACAACCCTGGTAAAACCCTCCAGGACAACAGGCAGTGGAAGGACCACACCCTTGAGTCCAGGGCACTGCTTGGCTTTTGCTTTTGGGTCTTGAGAAACAAACCATTGAAAGAAGATGTGAAAAAGAAGGCCTGCAACCTACTCCAGAGACTTGCAGAGCTAGCTGTAGAAAAGGGGATGCAGCTTGACAGCAATTTGGAGGGCATGGTGGTTGGGATGGATGGGATTGTCCACTATCAATCCCTGGAGATGAAAAGGCCACATTTTCTCAAGAATCTGGGCAAGTTGCTTGACCATTGCCCTGGTGCCAAGAGCATGTGGCAGACATTGAGGGGGGTCATGTGGCATGACCATACTATCTCAACTGCTGTGGACTTTGTCTCAATTTCAGACTTGGTGTGGTTCTTGGGTTACTTGGCAGCTCACACCACTACAGTGCACAGGGGCAAGCAAGACTTGTGGCTTTGCTGTGGCAAAGTCCTTTTGCCCACATTGGTCAACCAATTTGGTGCCTGGCTGGATGCCATTGCCATTGACCTGGCAAATGAAGAGCTGCATGCACTACCAGTTCTGAAGAGTAAATTTGGGAATGTGTGCAAGACCATGGACCCAGTCAACAGAATGCTGCTTCTTAGAAAGTTGCAAGGTGAGAAGGTCCATAGAAGAAGAATTGGGAAAACACATGACTTGCAACCACTGGAGTCCACATGGTCTAGACATGAGCATTTCCTGGATTGTGTGCTCCATGCTAGAGCCTTGCTGAAAGACTTTGAGTGTGAGCCCCTGCAACTTAGTATCTCATATGACCCTGGGAATTATGATGGCAAACAAATCAGTGCAGGAGTTGCATACAACCCCAGAAGCAACAGGGCTGCATACCTGCTGAGCCAAACAATGGGGAAACTCATGATGTCAGATTTGGATGAGCAGTTGATCCAAAAGGCCCATCAAAGGAAACTGACACGCATTCCTGGGTTCAATGAGTTGAGGAGTTTAGATGCCATGCTGGTTCACTCACTGGGCATTGGGGTGAAAGACTTTGCTGTGCCTGGAGGCCTGTTTGTCAAGCCCTTGGCACCTACACAGGTGAGAGTCAGAGGTAAGGATGGCAGGGCCTACATTGTGGACACCAACACTTCTGCAGCATTCCCAGAAGTATCACCAGACATCAACTTGTCAGAGTTGAAGATCTTGGTGACTTGCTCTGACCAGGGTCCACTCAATGTAGCATCTTTAAACTTCTTGATGCTGTCATCACACGCACACATGTGCCTGTGTTTGTGGGACCCCTACCATCGTGGTTGGAATGACATCAAGGGTGCAGCCAAGAAAGCTTCTTCAGGTGCATACAGGTGCATCCTGGAATTGACAACCCTCTTCAACACAAACTATGGACCCTTCACCTCATCTCAATGGTTTCATAGGAAGAGGAGTGCACTAGAAGAGTTTTTGTCATCCACCACTGTCAACTCCCAGAAGTGGCAAGACTATGAGGCTTGGATTTGCTTAGAAAGAAGGATTGATCAACCAAGTTGTGAAGAAGACAGGGTGGCCCTGTTCAACTCTATGTCTGCTTTGGAAAACTTTGTTACCAAAGGCCCTCTTGTGAAACTCATGCGATGGTTTTCTTGGTTTGAATGCTGTGCACACTGGCAGAATGACTTCTTTGCTACCAAGATGGTGCTGGAGAGTGAAGCTGGCCTTGGTGAGATGAAGCCAGAGGTGGTTGAGAGTGACCATGACATAGAGCAGGGCAATGAAAAAACAGAAAAGGAGAAGTTGTCTGCACTGAAGAAAAGAGTTGGCACCTACAACCTGGCCCCCAGGTTGATTACACCAAAGAATATGGCCATCAAAGAGATCTTGATGAGTGTGTGCAGGCATACTTGGAAAAGTTTTGCACACAGGGCAAGCAATATCAGGTCACCTGAACAGGTCATGCAGATGAACATTCAGAACACTGGCCAGGGTGCATGGAAGGATGAGTTGGTGGGAATGCTTCACTGCTCATTGTCCAGGGAGGACACCATCCAACACCTTCTACCTGAATGGT